AACAATTATAAGGATTGTTTTGTTGTGGAAACAGCGAAAGAATATGTTAGGAACACAGGGTTAGTAATATTTTGAGGGACAGTTTTAAAATCATGGAGAAATATATCGAAAAACAGCGCACGTTTTTGTGCGCAATAAATATACAGTTTTCTAAATGGGTGGCACTGTAGCTCTCCGGTCTGTCAATATATATTTTTCGGAGAGCTACAGTTCTGCAGCTAATCCATGATTGGTCATGGGACTACTTTTGGATTTAAACTTTACAACAAAAAACCATTTTTTACTTTTTCCTACCCTTAGTGCTCAGGTGAGCGATGTGGCCCATGGGCCTCTTGTTTTTGTGGCAATTAAGATTGCAATACGACTAGAACTGTAGGTTGGAGTAGCCTTTTAAAAGAATTTTACAGAAATTTCAATTTTAGTTACCATGGCAACATCATTCATCAAAATAATAAACCAAAGAGAATTATGTATCTCAGTGTAGTCTACTTAAATGCTGCATTATATTAAAATCAGACCAAACTGTTGCATTTTGAAAATATTTCTAAGAAATTTCTATTTTTAGTAACCACCATAACATCGTTGATCGAAATCAAAAACGGATAAATAGAATTATGTATCTTTAGTGTAGTCTACTTTTGTGCCAAGTTATATTGAAATCAGATTAAACTGTAGAAGGAGTAGCATTTTGAAAGTATTTCTAAGAAATTTCTACTTTTAGTAACCACAGCAATCATAATCAAATATTGTCAATTTGAGACTGAACCAGTTGTTTTTATTTACCGAAGCAAGACTGTGATCCTATTAACATACAAATTTTAAAAATCGGCTCTCAAACCTTAACTGTTTGAATTGATTTAGGCATGACTAAAAATTGTACTGAAATATATATTCTGTCATAAAAAACATGAAACTGAGGTGAAAACCCTTTATTCTCTCTGAATCAAAATACAGACATATTAAATATTCCTTACAACAAATGTAATTCTCTCTGAATCAATGTACTAAAATAAATATTACTTACATTAAATGTAATTCAGGCCCTCAATATCTCAGAGTTAAAAGGTTTGAGTTTGAATCTAATTTCTTTCAGTAGATTATGTATAACATCAAACTCTAAAAACACACCGTCCTGAATTTAGTAATCTCTTAAGATTACAGAACCCTTATCAAAACACACATATATCATGTCAGGGTACAATTGTCATTTATGTGTTTTTTTTTCTGTTTGTCAATATTTTTGTTTTCAAAACAGAAAAGAGTATTTAAACAACTTTTTCAATTGTATGGAAAATTGTTCCACATCATTCTTTGGACACCCTGGCAAATTTAATTTTTATTTAGAGCTTTTGTTTGCATATGAGTTGTCATTGATAAATGTATCTGCATGAGTTTCATTGTTTACACATAGTGCTTAATTGATTTGAAATTAGAAAAATCAATCTTTTTTCAGAGAAAAGTACATCTTCTTGTTGATGATATTTTTCTCTGGTTGAATCTTTTTGAGGTACTTTGTCAGTGTGCTTGTCATTTCCTCTTTGCTCATGTTGACCTTCTTGGACTTGAATTTTTTTAACAGTTCTTTTGCTGTCATTGGTTTTCTCATCAGGTACCTACGAATGGCCTCCTCTGTGATTCCAGCACTGTCAAACAGAACAAATACCTCAAATAACAATTATTCCACTACTGTCAAATACCGTTAAAGTGGTAATTATAGCGAGACTCAAATTTAGCAATTTGTCCTTAAAAACTGGTATTTTATTTTCAACAAGATGTAATTTTAAAATTCACACTAAAGACGCTATTACAAATTAAAGACGTACAACACACTGGGGGAGATAACTCTTGCGATTTCAATTGAACATTTGACGTGACGTCAAAATTAACGTCAAAAATAAAGCGTCAAAACGACGAGTAAAACGATCCCGATGTATATCAATCATGAAAGAAAATTGGGATATGGGGCTTGGCTTTGATTGCGCGTACCATACTCAATCAATAAGTATTTTTTAATTAACCCGATTAAACTCCGTAAAAAGCAAGACATAAAATACCATCCCTTAATGTTTATTTCATATACAATAAATTGTATTTTTGATCAAAGCGCAGCATTTTTTTTTATTCTGAAAATTTTATTTTACATTGCCGAAATTCTCATTATGTACAATTGGCTATATAACATTCCGATTAATGGTCTTCATTACAATTTGTGCATTTACGATATACATATTGTTTTATTTTTCTTTAATTAAATAAAATAACAATAAATAAACAAAAAAAACTTTTTACAATGTAAAATCGATGTAGACCCTTACTGATCAAAGAGGAACAACTCTGAAAATGTAGGAGATGTTTATTTTCCTCCCTTTATTCACGGTTTTCCACAGAAATACATTTACAGCAAGACCTGATAAATCCGAGAATTGAATACTATAGACCTCATATACACAATGTAAGTATAGAATTGAAAAGAATTGTTTACTTGTACTGAAATTATCTGCATTGATGAATATCCTATTGCAGCAAATCGTTTGACTTTCTGTCAGCAATGTCGGTTCGCATTTCCTCGAATCAAAACAAAACGTAGCCTATAAGATTTTAAAAAAAAATATCAAAGTGCGATTTGATATAAATTGAAATAGATGAAGAGTTTAATGTTTGATATTTTGAAGTTAATGTGGATGAATACGGAATTTTCATACTAACTTTAGAAGCGACGACATTGAAAGAAATGCGTACAATATCATGAGGGGTGTACATCTATGCAAATGTCGATGTATTCCCAATTTACAATTTACAAGGCTTAGATAATTCATAGTTTTTCAGTTTAAGATCTTTAAAAATTATTTTGATGATATGTATATCAAAAAGATGACTATGTTTTTGTGTTAAATGGTTAAAGGAATAAGCCAATGAAATTTGACATTGATATCTAACCTGGCTTTTTTGAAAATCAAGGTTTAAGTAGTTCATTGATTAAAAATTTTCTCTCCTCGTAAACAACTAAAGGGGGGTAACTTTTGGAAGTTCCTGTCCAAAAACCACTCGAACGATTTTGTCCAAAATGTGCATACATACAGTAGATATAGTCATGTACTAAATATACAAAAATAACGAAAATTAAACGACAGGAATTTTTTGGGGTAGGTGTGTTGTACATCCTTAAATGCAGATAATACCAAAATCTAACTGCAGAAATCCAAATGAAGGGATTTCCATATTTGTATAATAGCTAAACATGAGACGTATTTTGGACTCAAAATCCAAAAAAAATACAGCAAAATCATAAGAGTAAACAGGTCCGTTTGATGTATCATCCATGCATGGATGTTTTATTTTCCATTTGTTTAACTAACATTTAACTTAAATTACTTTTAAGTTAGTAGATAAATACCTTGATGTCTTTGCACTGACCCCAGGGCTGTCAGTTCTAGACTTTTTAGAAGGAATGTCTTCTGACTCCATTTTTCTTTTCTGGGCTATAGAAAACAAGAACAAAGTTTACATAACATTGAAGGTTCCAAAAAAAAAAAATTCAGTTAATTGTAGGAGGAGTAGCATTATAAGTACATTGTATATCACAGACATTTCTAATTAGTAACCATGGCAACAATGTTCATTGAAATAAAAAAAACAAACATAGAATTATGTAGCTTACCGGTAGTATAATCTACTTTTGCCAAGTTATATTGAAATCAGACCAAAACTATAGGAACAGTGTTTGAAATGACCATACGCCCGACCGCCCGAGACGCATAAATTTTGTCACGGGAGAACAGATTTCCATGTATAGACGCCCGGCTGGACGTGTAAAATTTTTCTATAAATTAAAATTTTGATATTTGATAAACCTCTCTCGAATCAAATAATATTACTGGCTTCAAAGAGTTACAAGCAGTAATATTGTAATATCGTATAATATTTTGAGTACCTCGCAGTTATCTAACATACTACCGATCTTTTGCGGTGGAGTCGAGAAAGCTCTAAATCTCGTGAGATTACTGGGGCACATGGCATTGTTTACAGGAGTGACAATCGAATGATTCGAACAATCTTACGCCGAAAGTACAATGTATTGACCAAGAATTGAACTCCAAATAATAGATTGTCAAATAAGGAAAGTTTCAAAAAAAATTTCAGTTCTAAAATGTGACGATTTTCAATAAATGTTTCGTGAGAAGAGCCAGCTTGGTTAAAAATATCGTTAAAAATGGAACATTTTAGGATTAGCTCCTGTCAAAAAATTAATAAGGCTGGTTCAGCGATTGTTTAGCAAGGTATTCCACCAGGATTTTTTACTTATCTGTCCTTATAAATTCTACAATGATCGATCTTGCATTGTATTCATTAGCACATTTGCCCCATCCAACAGACGTTTCCTATCTCCATCGCGAAAGAGTTCCGCTAAGTTTTGTAATCGCGATATCAAGTAATCCAATCTAAGTGAGCTGGCCCCATTAACATTACTGTAACATTTATAACTTTTGAAATACAATTGCTTTTTTCGGGCTAGTACATTTTTGGCAGGGCTGATAACTTCCACTAGCAATCAGCCCTGCATGTCTAGCTAATTTTACAGCGAGTTTCAAACACTGATAGGAAGATAGGAAGATTAGCTTTTTGAAAATTTTTCAAAGAAATTTCTATTTTTATACATAGCCATGGCAACTCCATTCATCAAAATGAAAATGGGTAAAAAGAATTATGTAATAACTTGGTGTAGTCTACTTGTAGCTGCTGATCTGTAGCATTGTGATTTTATATATTTGTCTTTGATCATAACGCTACAGATAATGCAAAAAAAGGTGCAATTTACAGTGCAATATTTTTGTGGACTCTTGGGGAGAATTTCTCCACTTTCTAGCATGGGTCAATCAACTACCTTTCAGTCCCTAATTCTGGGCACATTATTTAAATAATCTGTATATTTTATCCATCTCCCAACCCTTTATAGTTGTCTCTACAAGTGATAAACTTGCTTGTTTAAACTTCTTTGTTAGATTGCTGAACATTCACTTCAAGCAAGTTTATTGCCTGTAAAGACAATTACATGTATAAATGGTTGGGAGGTGGATAAAATATACATATAGAATGTGTCTAGAATTAGGGAGTGAAAGGTAGTTAATTGACCCATGCTAGAAAGTGGAGAGATTCTCCCTAAAAGTGCACAAAAAATATTGCACTGTAAATTGCACTTTTTTTGCATTACCGGATCTGTAGGGTTATGGTCTCAAAAGACAAATATATAAAACCATAACACTACAGATCTGCAGCTAGTCTACTTGTTGCCAAGGTATATTGAATCAGACCAAAATTATATAAAAAGTAGTGTTTTGAAAATTTTTTTTACAGACTAACAGACTGACATACAGATAGGTGGACGACACACTCCTTTGATTAAGCTCTTCTGGTTTCTGACCAGTAGAGCTACAAAATAATGAAATCCCAGTAAATACACCTTATTGTGTCTACTATTACACTGAGTAGAATGATCACCTTTCTTATTCTCTGTATCCATTAAGCTGGGTGTGGAAGATCTTGGCACTGGAGAAGCCCTATCTTTCTTATTTTTCTACAAAATACAATCAATTTAATCACACGTACTTTAAAACAAAATGAGAAATAAAACTAAACATGGGTAATCAGAGATTACAGAGCTGAGCTCGACAATGATGTAAGTAAGGCAAAGTCCCACATTAAACTGATCTAGTACTGTAGAGTTAAGAGTCATTGTAAATAGAATCTGCACCCACCTGCATAAAGATGACTGAAGCTAGATGATCTTCCTTTTCTATATCTGAATCACTCTCTGAACTGGAACTGCTACTGCTCTCAGAACCTGGTGAAGAAACAACTCAGTTAGTGAGGATTAGAATGATGGGACCTTCCTGCTGCACCACATCTCTACAAATTGTGACATAATCTGATTCTGTAACTTTCAAATTTACAAACATAGTGAAGTTAAAACCATCATGTTGATTTTCTTGAAGCACATGTACAGTAGAACAACATTTATAATAAAATACAATTCCAAAATCTACTTTTTGCACAATGATTATTAAATGTCTGTTTTCTGCAAAATTCAAGAATATTGCATTTTTACAATGCCTGGATTCTCAAAAAGAAATTTCATTATTGAAAATGAGAACACTATAAAGTCTCTACTTTATTTTGATATATGAAATTGGACAAAGAGTAATAATCAATTCATTGATATAAAGACAGGGTCATTTTATGCATAAAGTGATTCTAGCTCTTTACACTACCTGAGGATGCTTCCATATTAATGAGACAACAGAAAGATTTTTCCTTTAAATTCCTTTGTAAAATTTTGTTGCTCTATATCTTACCCCAAAACATCAGATGACTTAACTATATAGAATAATTCTCTTTTTTAGCCTTGATATTTTGTAATAAGTAAGTATCAATGATTTAAACCCCCCTTCTTTTCTTCTCTTTTTTGGCCTTGATATTTTGTAATCAGTAAGTATCAGTTATTTACCCTCCTTCTTCTTCTCTTTTTTAGCCTTGTCCTCCTCCTCTTCTTCCTCTCCTTTATTGGACTTCTGGTCCTCCTCCTCCTCACTCTCCTCTTCCTCAGAATCTATCAACTTCCTCAGGCCTCGCTCCTCATCTACTCCTTTTTCTTCATAGGTGCCTTTCTTTTCCCTATCTTCCATTTCTTCTTCACTAGAAAAGTCATGCTTCTAATTTGTGACAAAGTCTCATAGATCTCATTAACTGATGGGATTACAGAAAACTTGAGCAAGGATACAAGTCAATAGAGTAAATCCGAAATAAATTTAGCTCACCAAAATTACGGTTGGCACTACCTTGATAAACATACATGTCAAATACATGCAAAATATACAATGTACAAGAAAATAATACAAAATCTAAAGACTTTTTATTATCACTTTCAGTTTGTGCAACAAGTTGTGTGAGAAGTTTTGATTATGTGGCCATATTATTGTTAAAAATTGTGGTCAAGAATAAAAGAAAATCCTTGTTCCTAAGATAAACAAAATAATGAAATGATCAGGAATAATTATTGTTTCATTTTTAAAGAAGGATATTTATCATTCAAAAAAATGGTCAAGTAGTTCTGATTTAAGAAATGATCAATTTCAGTAAAACAATCTCAATGTATTTTCAAAGTATTTACATATCAGTTTGTGTGTCACTGTATATCATATTATTTAAAATAGCCGTGGCATGAGCTCATAATATATTTATAAAATAACAGTGGCATGAGCTCATAATATATCTATAAAATAACAGTGGCATGAGCTCATAACATGAGAGAATTCCAGTGAACTGTAATTCAAATAAGGGAGTGCTCAGTGTATGCCCCCTCCCTTTTTAGCTAACCTGAGCCAAAGGCTCAAGTGAGCTTTTCTGATCAAAATTTGTCCGTTGTCTGTCGTTGTCATCGTTGTTGTCGTAGTCGTCGTTGTCGTTGTAGTCGTCGTTGTCGTTGTTGTAAACTTTTCATATTTTCATCTTCTTCTCAAGAACCACTGGGCCAATTTCAACCAAACTTGCTACAAAGTATCCTTGGGTAAAGGGGATTCAAGTTTCTTCAAATGAAGGGCCACGCCCTTTTCCAAGGGGAGATAATTATGAATTAGAGAAAAATTAATGGCATTTTTAAAAAATCTTCTTCTCAAGAACCACTGGGCCAGGAAAGATGAAACTCATGTGGAATCATCCTCAGGTAGTGTAGATTCAAGTTTGTTCAAATCATGACCCCGGGGGTAGGGTGGGGCCAAAATGGCCGATCAAAGTTTTAAATAGGAATATATAGGAAAAATCTTTAAAAATCTTCTTCTCAAGAACCACTGGGCCAGGAAAGATGAAACTCATGTGGAATCATCCTCAGGTAGTGTAGACTCAAGTTTGTTCAAATCATGACCCCTGGGGGTAGAGTGGGGCCAAAATGGTCAATCAAAATTTTACATAGGAATATATAGGAAAAATCTTTAAAAATCTTCTTCTCAAGAACCACTGGGCCAGGAAAGATGAAACTCATGTGGAATCATCTTCAGGTAGTGTAGATTCAAGTTTGTTCAAATCATGAGTGTGGGGCCAAAAGATCAAAGTTTTACATAGGAATATATAGGAAAAATCTTTAATAATCTTCTCCTCAAGAACCACTGGGCCAGGAAAGATGAAACTCATGTGGAATCATCTTCAGGTAGTGTAGATTCAAGTTTGTTCAAATCTGGGGGTAGGGTGGGGCCAATATGGTCAATCAAAGTTTTACAAAGGAAGATATAGGAAAAATTTTGAAAAATCTTCTTCTCAAGAACCACTGGACCAGGAAAGATGAAACTCATGTGGAATCATTGTCAGGTAGTGTAGATTCAAGTTTGTTCAAATCATGACCCTCGGGGGTAGGAGGGGCCAAAATGGCCGATCAAAGTTTTACATAGGAATATATAGGAAAAATCTTTAAAATTCTTCTTCTCAAGAACCACTGGGCCAGGAAAGATGAAACTCATGTGGAATCATCTTCAGGTAGTGTAGATTCAAGTTTGTTCAAATCATGACCCCCGGGGGTAGGGTGGGGCCAATATGGTCAATCAAAGTTTTACAAAGGAAGATATAGGAAAAATTTTGAAAAATCTTCTTCTCAAGAACCACTGGGCCAAGAAACTCATGTGGAATCATTGTCAGGTAGTGTAGATTCAAGTTTGTTCAAATCATGACTCCCGAGGGGTAGGGTAGGGCAAAATGGCCAATCAAAGTTTTACATAGGAATATATAGGAAAAATCTTCTTCTCAGGAACCATTGAGACAGGAAAGATGAAACTCATGTGGAATCATCTTCAGGTAGTGTAGATTCAAGTTTGTTCAAATAATGACCCCCGGGAGTAGGATGGGGCCAAATGGCCGATAAAAGTTTTAAATGGCAATAAATAGGGAAACCTTTTAAAATCTTCTTTTCAAGTACTTCAAAGCCATGCTTAGTGATATTTATAGGGAATCATCCTCAGGTATTGTAGATTCTAGTTTGTTCAAATCACTACCCCCTGGGGGGTTAAAATTCAAGCCCCCTCCGCCCTCAGTAAACTTTCAGTTCTGATCTGATTTGTGCTTTTTTTCTAGCCAATTGCTCAGGTGAGCGATGTGGCCCCTGGGCCTCTTGTTACTATACCTGCTGGAGTCAGTGATGTAGTCAACCTCTCTGTCATCAAAATCTCCCTCATCACTATCTTCCACTGCCTCATCATCAGAATTGTGTTTGGCATTTCTCTTTTGGTGTTTTTTGCCCTTCTTTTTACTCTTAGAATCTATTCAACAGATTAAGATCATAAATAATCAGTGCAAATATCATGGAATTGTCAAAGACTACAGTAACTGTAAACCAACTATTATTCATGTGCATGAAATATTCGCGAGTTTTTTCGACCTTCTTTAACTTGTTAATATTAATCCCAGAACCATTTACTTTACTTTAAATTGATAGGGAATGTTTCCATGCCGAATTAAACATTGCAGACTGATTGAAAACTAAGGAATAGCAAATAAAAAGATGACATAAATAATAGCTGGTTTACAGTATTTGCTTGACTAAACTGTTAATGTAGAGAAGCACATGAGTATATATTCAACAAAAACAAAATTTTGGCTAAAATCTTGTGGTCCTGGCATTTTTCCAGGAAATATTGAATTATTTTGTTAAAATGCCACTCACATTTATTTATTTTACTGTATTTTGTCAAAATTCCCTTCACCAATTAATAATAGTTATACCTTTAAACAAACAGCTTTTTGTGTATTCATTGCTTAACATTTTGCCAAAATTAGAACAACTTCACAAATTTCCAGTAAGTCTTTGAGACAAAATGGCCTATCATCAATGCATTTTTATGTCTTATTATGCTTAACAATTTGATTTGCTAATAAAGCAAACTTAAACTGACAGGCCAGAACTATGAATAAACAGCAAGCTTATCCATATGTACTGTTTCATCCTGCAGTTACTATTTCCCTACCTCTG